AGTCATACAGAGAAAGACAGATACCATATGTTTTCACTCTTATGTAGATGGATCCTGAGAGACTTAACAGAAGACCATGGGGGAGGGGAAGGAAAAAAAAAAGTTAGAGAGCGAGGGAGCCAAACCATAAGAGACTCTTAAAAACTGAGAACAATCTGAGGGTTGATGGGGGGTGTTAGGGAGTGGAAAGTGGGGATGGGTATTGAGGAGGGCACCTGTTGGGATGAGCACTGGGTATTGTATGGAAACCAATTTGACAATAAATTTCGTATTAAAAAAGAAAAGATTCTTCTCCCAGTTTCCGGGAATCCTGGATTGACTTTGCCTGAAGAAGCAGTGTAAGGCAGTGGAAAAGTCAGACTTTATGTCAGACAAGGCTGCCTTCTTCCACTGACCTTACCACATGATGGTGGCATGACCTTAAAGAAGTGGGTCTCCTTAGCTTTAAATGGAAGTGATGATACCTATCCTGTGAGCATGCTATGAGGATTAAATGAGGTAATACATATAAAGCTCCTGGTGTTCAAGAGAAATGAGTTCCTATTACCTCTAAAATATGTATATATTTTATCCATCTTTTTGAAGTTTCTATAGCCTTGGAACCGTAGAAATCTTGCCCAGTCCATTTCTTTCCCATCTGCTCAGTTTGCCCTCATCAGAAAAATAAATACAGTCTCTTTATTTTTTATATCTTTCTAACAGCGAAGAGAGACATCTTTCTCTTCCTCATTAAGAAATGCCACATCCTTTTGAGCCACCCATTAAGTTTCTGTTCCTTGTCTGAAGGATGCCTCCACTTCTTAGTTCATCTGCAGAGCAGAAAAACTGTTCTGCCCTAAGCTAAACAGACGTCTCCCAATTCACATAGTTACCTTTACTCTTAGCCAACTTTTTGGGATTTCTTTCCATGTCTCATGACTGTGTACCCACCTCTCTTCGTCCCCTGGGGTGTGGTCTTCCAGAAGTCTACCACTGCATTCACCCCAAACCAAACAACATAACAGTAATTAGAACAGATAAAACTTCTACCAAGGAAAAAAGCCCCCATCTCATACCAGTGTAGGCATCACAGAAAGGGGATGTAAGTCATTCCCCTGAAATCACCATATAACAGTTTTCCACAAATTCTCAACTCTCTATATTAAATGGGAACAATATGAAGTCTGAATAGTCACAAATAATTCAGAGACTCACAGCTTCAACCAATAGTTTCAACCTTCTTGCCCTGAAAATTTTACCAACACTAATAAACTACAAAAGTGAAAGTTAGCTATCACATTTTGTCTTCTGGCTTCTCAGCAGGAAATAGGGAGAGAAAGGTAAGAAAAGAAATGTAGCCTTGAGTAAACAAAAAACTGGAATAACTAGCCACCAGGCAAATAAAAGCTGGCTTGGGTGCTCTGAGTTTAATTCACCCAGCCTGTGGTACCTGGATATGTTCACATTGGGTCTAGTGGGACTTTCCACTCAGGAGAGCTGGGTTTAATTGTGGCCCCACATCTACCAGATATGGCAGTTTTAAATGTGTCCACAAATTTTTTGACACTCCTTCCTTAAAAAGAGTGTAATTACCCTCCCCTTGAATGTGGGCCACACTTGGTAACTTATTTCTAGTGACTGTGGCTAAAGGGATACTATATGACTTCCAAACCTAGATCATAAAAAAATGCAATTTCTACCTGGCTCTTTCCCTCTTTTGAACAGCTCACTCTGGAGGAAGCCAACTAACCTGTCATTAGAACACTCAAGCAGTTCCGTGAAGAAGCCCACATGAAGAAATAAGGGCTGCACCAACTTCCCAGCCACAGGAGGGAACCACCTGGGAGGATTCTCCAATCCCAATCAAGCCTTGGGATGACCCCAGCTGAAATCTGACCACCATCTACCAAGAGACTCTAGGCCCGAGCAACCCAGCTAAGCTACCCCTAAACTCCTGCTCCACAAAAACTGTGAGAGATATATAAATAAATGAATATTGTTGTTTTAAGCCACTAAATTTGGAGTGATTATTATTTGATAATAATACATTATTTGATACATAATTCACCAGGTAAGTCAGGAAATGATAATAACCATTAATTAAAGATGTAGTTAGGCTATGTACTTGTATGTCTGGCCTACAGATAAGGGTAAAAAAAACCAAAACTATAATGGAGAGATATAAGGGAGGTGCTAATCTCCTTAAAACCCTATGATAAATAGGGGCGCCTGGGTGGCGCAGTCGGTTAAGCGTCCGACTTCAGCCAGGTCACGATCTTGCAGTCCGTGAGTTCGAGCCCCGCGTCGGGCTCTGGGCTGATGGCTCAGAGCCTGGAGCCTGTTTCCGATTCTGTGTCTCCCTGTCTCTCTGCTCCTCCCCCGTTCATGCTCTGTCTCTCTCTGTCCCAAAAATAAATAAACGTTAAAAAAAAAAAAACCCTATGATAAATAAATATTGTGATGGAAATGAAGGACATGATACACAGGTTGCCGATAACCTATGAAATAGCTCACTCATCCCCACAGGATCTCACTGTGGTAGAAAAAGTCCACCAGCACTGCCCCCTGGCCTTCACCTCAGCTGATGTAGGCAAGCTTTCCATACCCAGTACTGCGCTCAGGTTGGAACACAGGGCTGAACAATGTGAGAATCCAGACTAGGAACCCAGTTCCATCACTACTGTTTTATTCCAGTCGTCTATTGAGGACTCACAGGTCATGGAGTATTCTTTCCTCCAGGGGGCAGAAGCAAACAGGGAAAACCAGACTCAAAGCTCTTGTTTACTTAGACTGACTCACTTCCCTCAAAACCCAATCTTCACTGTAAAGATTTCCTCCCTTATCAAAGTCCTTGAAAGAAAGCCATAGTCTCATAGATGCTGGAGAGGATGTGGAGAAACGGGAACCCTCTTGCACTGTTGGTGGGAATGCAAACTGGTGCAGCCACTCTGGAAAACAGTGTGGAGGTTCCCCCCAAAATTTAAAATAGATCTACCCTATGACCCACCAATAACACTGCTAGGAATTTACCTAAGGGATACAGGAGTCCTGATGCATAGGAGCACTTGTACTCCAATGTTTATAGCAGCACTTTCAACAATAGCCAAATGATGGAAAGAGCCTAAATGTTCATCAACTGATGAATGGACAAAGAAATTGTGGTTTATATACACAATGGAATACTACTTGGCAATGAGAAAGAATGAAATATGGCCCTTTGTAGCAACA